GGCCACTGCTCACCTTAAATTTACTTATTTGTGAATGGCCAAAATTTCCTCCAGACTGAGAGTTCTGCAAGGGCAGGGTTCATGGCCGTAGCCCATGACATAGAGTCTTGAACAGCACAGGTTAATCTTTTGTTGACTGAACAGAAAAACAAATCCCTGAACCAATGGCAGAAGTTTAATTTTTCTGCTGCCAAATGCAGAAAAGGGGCCACCTTCCAGCCCACTGCCCTAAAAGAAGACTGGGCCCCATTCCTAGGGAACTAAGACCTTGGAGTCAAGCTCAAGTGCTCCTTAGAATTCCTTGGGTAGTGAGCTGTGCCAGAGAAAGCTCCTGGCAGAATGCAATTTGCCAACGAAGCCCAGAAAGCTGTGTGAACAGCAGGCAAACTTAAAGCAGGCACTTAGTGAAATTGCTTTCTGTGATCTCAAAAAGAAATAATAGCATGCCAGGCTGGCTTAAGGAGAAAATACTTGAGTGTAAATAGGGCTGCACTTTACTCCCCTGGTCTCCAAAACACACAAAAGCCTCCAAGGGCTCTCCCTCCAACTGGAGCCATGGAGTTGAGACCCTCCCAGCCCCATTTTCCATGTCCATTCCATCACTCCAGGCCCATCAGATTCCCCAGTCACCAGGAACTCTCCTTGCATTTACCCATGTTGTCTTCTTTGTCTGGCATGCTCACCCTTCCTTCCTCTGTCACACAGGCTAGAGTGCAGTGGCGCAATCATAACTCACTGCAGCCTTGACCTCCCAGGCTCAAGGGAGCCTTCAACCTCAACCTCCTGAGTAGCTGGGACTACAGGTTCATGCCACTATGCCTGATGAATTAAAAAAAAATTTTGTGTGTGGAAATGAGGTCTCGCTATGTTGCCCAGGCTGGTCTTGAATTCCTGGCCTCAAGTGATCCTCCTGCCTCAGCCTCCCAAAGTGCTGAGATCATAGGTGTGACTCAGCACACCTGGTTCCTACTCATTCTTTGTTGCCTCCTTTGCAAAACTTTCCTCTTCCTCTCCTTCCTGTGACAGATAACACTGTGTTGTGAGCTGTAGGTGTCAGTACCGACCCAGCCATCTGACTCAGCTCAGTGTCAAGATTAGAAAAGACAACAGAACACCCTTGCAGGGAACACTGTCTAGTTGGAGAGACCAATGCAAAGAAATATATAATTACAAATTGGGAAAAGGGCTAAGAAGGAAACAAGACATGGTGAGAGACACCACACAGCCAGGTGGAGATGGGGAAAACCACAACAAATGGCTGGGGAAGGCTTCTCTGAGGAGGTGACATTCAACTGCTTCCTGATGGATGAGTAGGAGTTAGCCAAGCAAAGAATGGGGAGAAAATGTTTCAGGCAGAGGGCATGGCATGTGTGAAGGTGTGAAGGTGCTGGGCAGGAAAGCACATGGCATAACTCAGGAACCAATGGAAGTCTGTGTGGCTCCGGCCTCAGAGGACTGGGAGGGCTGTGTGGGGAGGGGAGGCAGGCCTCCTGGGCACCAAGTGCTCTGAGCTGCCATCCTTGTGTTTCTGTCTCCATTCTCCTCAGAAGGGCCATGATGCATCTACTCACCTCCCTCTCTCCAGTGCAGGGCAAGACACCTGGTACAGAGACGGCATTCAACAAGTGGCTGTGAGCTCCACTGTCCCTTTGAGATGTGGTGAGCCATCGCTCCCTCTGCCCATTCCTCCACCCCAGCAGCAAGTCCCCCGGTGGCACGCCTCACTGAAGCACCCAGAGACCAGTTAACCACAAGATGAGTGAGAGAAACAGGATAAAACAGCAGCTGCAAGAGCTACAGTTATGTCCTTGACAAATGCCACTGACAACCTAGTTGGCAGATGTGGCCACCACATGGTCCTTGGAGACCAGATTCTTAGGGTAAGCTTCAATCAGATGGTGACTCTAGTAACAGGGGGCCTGCCAAAATCACAAGCCCCAAGACTTAAATTATCAGTTTGAAGTTCAAAATACAGTTTCCAAAATTCAGTAGTTTCTTGATTAAAATTTCAAAAATTCAAAAGACAAAAATAAAGCTGAGTTGGTAGGAATTTCCAAGTTGCCCAGGTGCCCTGTCTGTCCTGTATCTCCCCTCATGAATTAGACTCTGGCCCAACCAAGAATTCTGTCATTTCCTATTTTCTTTTTTTTTTTTCAGACAGATAGATGGAGTTTCACTCCTTGCCCATGCTGGAGTGTAATGGTGCGGTCTTGGTTGACCACAACCTCCACCTCCTGGGTTCAAGCAATTCTCCTGCCTCAGCCTTCCGAGTAACTGTGATTACAGGCATGCACCGGCTAATTCTGTATTTTTAGCAGAGACAGAGTTTCTCCATGTTGGTCAGGCTGGTCTCGAACTCCCAACCTCAGGTGATCTGCCCCCTTGGCCTCCCAAAGTGCTGCGATTATAGGTGTGAGCCACCACGCCCGGCAAATTCTGTCATTTTCAAGAACACACAGTTCTTCAAATCACACTTTGAACTCTTGCTTTCTGAGTAATGGATTCTGAACTATTCTAAACTAGTCATTCTTTAGGCTAAGCCAAGCTGTTTCTTAACTGTTTTTGGAAGGGTGGGGAGTAAACAGACATTACACATAGTTTGAAAGCATCTTAGAAAGAAACACAATTATGAAACCTTTGCCCGAGTCGCACAGGCCACTGTCCCCTTTGTGCTCTTTACATTTTTCATTGGTATCTTTCCAGTCCTAGACTGAAATCTTTTCTGCAGTAGTTCTCCATGCTTCCCTCTAGTGAGGGTAAAAAGGGACTGCAGACACCTTCTTGTGAAATTCGACTCTGTTCTGCAAAACCCTTGCAAATACTGTTCCCCCATCCCTTCACAAATGCCCTTCCCTCCTCCTTGCCCAGCCAACTCTTGTCCTCTAGGATCTCACTGTAACTGCCATTACTGCCATTTCTTCAAAAAGCCCTTCCCTACTTTACCCGCCCCATCTAAATTACGCCTCCACTATTCTCTTCTAATATTCCATTATATTGGCCATACAGGGTGGCTCACGATTATAATCCCAGCACTTTGGGAAGCTGAGGCAGGAGAATCACTTAAGCCCATGAGTTCAAGGCCATCCTAGGCAAGATGACAAAATCCCATCTCTTAAAAAAAAAAAAAAAATTAGTCGGATGTGGTGGTTTGCACCTTGGTTCCAGTCATTTGGAGGACTGGGGCAGGAGGATTGTTTGAGCCCAGGAGGTCGAGGATACAGTGAGCCATGATCACGTCACTGTACTTCAGCCTGGGTGACAGAGTGAGGCCTCACCTCAAAAACAAAAAACCTATTCTATAACTTCATGGCAGTCACAATTCGTAATCATATCTTTATGTGCATTTGGTTAATTTAACATTAACCCATCCTCCATCCCCATTAAAGTGCAAGTTCCATGCAGGCAGCTTTCTGGTGTTACGTCAATGTATCTAGCACCTAGAATAGCTTGACACATACAAGGTACTCCATATACATTGCTAAATGGCTAACGGCTTTTCCTTAGGATTTTCTAAAGATGGTATGTCCAATATTGAATTCTAGTTTCTCAGGCCCCAAGGTGTTCATGGTATCTTCTAAACCCAGTGCCTTATCACAGCAGTAACCACATTTTTAAGTATCTGCTCTGTCTACATCCTGTACTTGTTGTTTTAAATGTATCGCTGATCCTCACAATGGCCCTTCAAAGTGGAGATAATCACACCACTTTATAGACAAAAGACCTGAAAGCTCAGAGAGGGAAATTTAAATTCGTCCTAGTCACATGGCTAGTAAGCGGTGGCAATACCAGAATTCAAACCCAGCTTGGAGTCCAGGGTCTGTGCTCGTTCCACCCAGGCCCACTTCTCAACTAGGGTGCACAACCCGCCAGGGTCACTCCAGCAGGCCTAGGAGCATAGGATTCCACAAGACAATGTGTGGCCCATTTTTTGTATCATTTTTTCTTGATGGTAAACAACATAAAATATTTTTGTGTTAAAAAAGGCACAGAGCAGCCTGCACAAAATAGTGAGATCACATTTCTATAAAAAATAAAAAACTTGCCAGGCATAGTGGTGCACACCTATAGTCCCGGCTGAGGTGGGAAGATCACTTGAGCCTGCGCGGTTGAGGCTGCAGAGTGCCGTGACCACGCCACTGCACTCCAGCCTGGGCAACAGAGTGACGCCTGCCTCAAAAAAAAAAAAGCACAGATGTATGTTAAAGTATGACATGTAATAGTACATTTAAAGGAATTTTTTTTCTTTTTTTTTTTTTTAAATTAAGACGGGGTTTCACCATGTTGGTCAGGCTGGTCTTGAACTCCCGACCTCAGGTGATCCGCCCGCCTTGGCCTCCAAAGGGCTTGGATTACAGGCGTGAGCCACCACGCCCGGCCCATTTAAAGGAATTTTTAAAAGAAAATACAAAAGTAAAAAGAAATTTCATGCCTGTTGGCCAGGCCTGTCTCAGGAACCTCTATGGAAAAACTTGAAAAGCACTTAGTTGTCACTCTGCCCTTCTTCATTTTATGTCTATTTTCTTTGTTGCTATATTATTTATTTATTTATATTATTTTTTTGAGATTGAGTGTCGCTCTGTGGCCCAGGATGGAGTGCATTGGTGCAATCTCGGCTCACTGCAATCTTCTCCTCCTGGGTTCAAGTGATTCTCCTGCCTCAGCCTCCCAAGTAGCTGGGATGACAGGCGCATACTACCAGGCCCAATTAATTTTTTGTATTATTAGTACAGATGGGGTTTCACCACATTGGCCAGGCTGCATGTTGCTTGAATCGCTCCAACTCCTGACCTCAAGTGATCCACCCACCTCAGCCTCCCAAAGTGCTATGGTTATAGGCGTGAGCCACCGCACCCTGCCCCTTGTTGCCATATTAAATAACATCAGCATCACAACTAAATCTTCATTTTCCTACTCCCACCCAATTAAAATGTTTATTGAAAATGTCAGGTGTCAGCCACAGGCATGTCATTTTCAAACCCCTTAGTCATTCATAAGGACACTTTTTTGTAGGTACAATAAATCTGATTGCAATTTTTATTACACATCTTAGTTTAGAATCACTTTTACATTCCTAGACAAAGAGATGATACAAATAAATATCAATTGTAAAACTTAGAGCCCCAAGTATTGATTGGCATATTCTTTGTCTAAAGGTAGCCAAAGAGAAGGTCAAGATCAATAACAACTTCAAGGAGCCATAAAGCTCACTGCCTCCTGCCTGCCCCAGGATCACTCCTTTCATAAATAACCCAGAAGCATTTCATTCAGGAAACAAGGGCAGGCAGAAAGGTGACAGATTTCTCAATAGCACAAAACAACGCCTTGTGTGATAGACAATCGCCAGGCCCACTATTCTTAGCCAGTTCCCTCAGAGTATTGTTACTATGGCTTTTAGTATATTAACAGCCCCATTTTCATCCACTGATGGGGTTCAGATGGTCCAACACGCCTCAACCCCAAGTGGGAAATGAGAGGCAGAACTGACATCCATGTTAACAGGGAATCGACACTTCTCAGAAACTTGGCAACGATTCTACATTCAGTGAGGGAGGACTTGTCAGAGTCAGACAGGAAAAGCAGAGCACGGCCCCTGCCCAAGCTGCAGCACTCTGGCGCCCTTGGTCATGGAGGTGTGGGTGAGCAATTCAAGCAGCATGCAGGCATTAGACGGGAAACAACCCAGCGGTAGGTCAGTCTTAAGAAAGTGCTTCATGCCTACTATTTGGGGCCTTGGGTTCTGAATCCAGGGGACTGAGACATGGACTTTAAAATATGAAGCCAGATACATTCTCCAGATCACAGCAAAAGGGGGTCTCCTGGGGGCTGCATACACAGTCTCAAACTCCTTCTCCTGATGGTCCTCTTAGATCCTGCTAGACTTGCTTTCAGACTTCGCTAGCTGCTGCTGGCATGAAGGCCCTCGGATGGCTCAGAACATTCTAGGTATGACTAGAGACATGAAAACCTGGTCCCTCAGTGGGCTTAGTAGGTCCTCTACCTATTTGGCTCAATGCAGAGCCCAAAGCAGCAGCTTTCTGGTGGCAGCAAGACATTCTACAATCTGCTGTATTCAAATATTTATCGGATCCATTTTGAGAGAAGAAAAGCACCAGAGACTGCTTGGAAAGGGACGGCTTCGTTTCCAAATGAGTCTTCTTTTGCCTTCTTAGAAAAGCTCTATGTGTCACTTAACCACCCTTGGTCAGAAGAGTCACCTCGAGATACCAGTATGAAGGTATAGGGTTATCTGCAGTTTTCTTTTCTTTTTTTTTTTTTTTTTTTTTTTCCTTTTTTTGAGGTGGAGTCTCACTCTGTCACCAGGCTGGAGTGCAGTGGCGTGATCTTGACTCACTGCAACCTCTACCTCTCAGGTTCAAGTGATTCTTGTGCCTCAGCCTCCCAAATACTAGGACTACAGGTGTGCACCACCACACCTAGCAAATTTTTGTATTTTTAATAGAGATGGGGTTTCACCATGTTGGCCAAGCTGGTCACGAACTCCTGACCTCAGGTGATACACCCACCTTGGCCTCCCAAAGTGCTAGGATTACAGGCATGAGCCACTATACCCAGCCAGTTATTTGCAGTTTTCAATTCTCAGATTTGCTACATAAATATTTTTAGCCTACAGAATTCAGATTAGCTTTGAGGATATGTGGTGTGAGAGACACGTGTAACTAGCAAACAACCAGCTTAGGCTATCCACCTTAGTGTTTTGCTCTTATGCAAACAGACAAATTCTCAGTACATAAGAAGCAGGTTTGATCTCAAGAAAAGAGGAGGGAAGGCTCTATTATGCTGAAAAGGGCCCTGGGTTCAAAAAGAAGGGTTACTAAAAAGGAGATAAGCCGCTGGACAACAGATCTCCATTGTGCAGAATGCTAAGACATTGCACTTAGTACCTCCTATTTCCCATGGGTTCTGATCCAGAAATGTGCCCTGGGAACTGAGCAGCTGAGTTAAAGTATAACTCAAGGCCCACCTTAGTTGCCACTTTCCTGAGGCACCGTGCCAGCAAGGTGCACCAGTGTGGCAGACCTGGAGACTCACACTGTCCCCTCAGGCTTGGCTCATGGACTCAGACACCCACATGGGAGTGCTTCCAGCCTGGATTAGTCATTCAATGGGCCTTTAATAAAGACAAAAGGCAACAACTGCACATTAGTGTATTTCTAATATTGGGCAAGTTCTTGGTCTCTCTCTTACAGACACACATGGACACATTCACAAAACAGGCACCATCGTGTTCTCACACCCACACACACTCATGAGCTTCTCTTGGGGGACAATGAGTAATATTCACCTAATGACCAACATAAAATGAAGCTCTGAATCTCAACAATACAGGGAACTAAAACTTACAAACCAAACTAGTATATGTAAACAGGATTCTGAACTCTCCTCTGAGCCTATTCAATCACGCAGCCACTCTTGCCAGCATCTTAGGTCTGTGCCTGGAGGGAGCCACAGTTCTAGGATTTGGTGAGTTCTGACTCTGCTGAAGGCAGGCAGGATTCCTTTGCTTCCATCTGTTATGCCTTCCCTACCCATTGCACTGAGTCTCATGTCTCCATCTCTGCATCTGCCTAGCTACTCTTCTGCTCTCTGTATCAATATGGAACAAAGCAGGGAATTCAAAAGTGCCACTATACGTCCCGTTCCCTCAACTCTAGCCCCATCAGAGAAGGCAGAACCAGCCTCCTTTCTCCCACAAAACAGGCCTACTGCAGAGCATGCTCTGGAGGCAGAGGATGGGCCCACACAAGGATGCTCAGAGTACGTGTGCATGGGAAAAGATGGTGACAAATGAAGAGTTTAAGTGACATGGTGTATGGACATGGCACCAGCTTACAGGCTTACAGACTTAGGTCTTTGACAGGATGGTCATGGTTTTGAGGTTTTAAAGAAGCTGTTTCCCTAAACACTCCAAGGAGGCAAAGGGAATGTTATTTCTATTGCTCCCAACATTGAGTCCTTCAGGAGCAGAAACTGGAAGAGATTTCCTCACTGAGCAGCTCTCAAGGGCAGATCCGCTTCTTACTGAGGTGCATGGAAGCAGGACTGCTGATGGTGCCCACCTGGGGCCTGGATCCAAATGCGATTTCTCATTTCTCCAACAAGAACAGGCACATATTCAAGTTCTAGGGCTTTCACTTTTCAACCTCACTGTCATTTTATCCTGAGGCTCTAAAGATGTGGTCCTGCTAAGGTGACTCCTGATTCTGCCCTATTGTTCAACAAGAAGGGAGCCCCATGTAAAGAACAGGCTAGAAAAGGAGAGGGGAGAGAAAGGGAGAGCAGGGGAAGGGGGAGAAGAAGGCAAGGGGGAAGGAAGCAAGGTCACTGGTCATTCTCTTGCTTTCCACTTGGACTATCGCACTGTATCTTACCCATGCATTTCTGAGATGCTAATTAAAAGATGTTTCCCAGAGGAGCTGAGTACCAGATGAGGACCAGCACATTCCACCAGCTTAAGTTGGTTGATCTGCAAAGAGGCCATCGCTTCTCCTCAGGGGAACAGTTCTGAGTTTGGGCTGAGTCCTCTCTATAGCTTTTTGCTAGTCTTCTCTCAGAAGGCAAATGCTGTGTCCACCCTGGGAGAAGAGGAGCTGGCTTTACTTTGGAACCAGCCCCCGAGACTGTGGATAAAGCTGAGATGCAGGGGTTCCTGAGGAAGAGGAGGAGGATCCCGACTTCCTTCCACTTTTAGGCCTGCAAAAGTCAAACACATGTTTACATTACATGTCCCTATCTCTGTCCCTGACACATCAGAATTAACATTTCAAGGTAGCCTTTCTCCAATGGCCTTAAAATGACAATACGTTCAACTGTAAAACCACTAGACTAGCACAGCCTAAATCTTTGGCCATGGTCAAAATGGCCTCAGAATGGAGGTGTGGAACCTGAGAGAAGAGACTCTGATGCTTAGCAATTGTTCTTCCTTTAAAACCAAAGCTTGACTGTCCTTTCCAGATTGATAAAGAAAACATTAAGTTTGTAGGTAGAATTTCTTCCATTTTGGTTTTCCACTGAATTATTTTCCTAAAACTTCTAATCTAGAATGTAATAAGACAGATTTCTACTTCTGCACCAAATAGGTGAGGTAAACTTAGCATGGAGACCCAGAGCCTGGGCTGCGGATGTGGGTTGACCCGTTTCTGAATTCTTGCTTTGGCCCTTACTTGCTGGGTTTCCTTGGAGATGGCTATTTTCTAAGTTTGGCTAATTCTCTAAGTTTAAGATGGCTAAGATGGTTAATTCTCTAAGTTTCGGTTTTCTTGTCTGTAAAATGGGACCGATTATAATATTTACCTCATACATTTTTTTTTGAGATGGAGTTTCACTCCTGTTGCCCAGGCTGGAGTGCAATGGTGCGATCTTGGCTCCCTGCAACCTTTGCCTCCTGGGTTCAAGCTGTTATCCTGCCTCAGTCTTCTGAGTAGCTGGGATTACAGGCATGAGCCACCACGCCCAGCTAATATTTTTGTATTTTTAGTAGAGATGGGGTTTCTCCATGTTGGTCAGGTTGGTCACGAACTCCTGACCTTGTGGTCTGCCCGCTTTGGCCTCCCAAAGTGCTGGGATTATGGGCATGAACCACTGCACCCAGCCTACCTTATAACGTTTTGCAGGAAATCATTAAGAGAATGTTTGTAAAGCACTTAGAACTACAGAACACCTTGTGAGAACTGAAGAACTGACTGCTACTTCACCAGAACACATTCACCTTACGGTACGGGGCTGGGGACATTCAGTATTCTGCCATTCAGTATACCTGGCATAATGTCTCAACCATAAATATTTGTAGAATTAATAAGTAAACATAGGAGTAATATGGCAACATTTTCCAGTGTGTTCTGCAAAGTATTCCATGATAAACAAGCATTCTTGCTTTGGTCTGTCCTTGTTCAAACATGTTCTGTTTAAACACACCTCATCAAAGCCACTCACCTGGCCTTGGATTTCTTATTTGCAGTGCTTTCAAAGGATGATGCATCCACCTGTATCTCATCTTCATCCTGCAGGGCCGCATCCAATGCAGCCTGGACCTTGGGGGCAATGGCTGGGCCCTCGTAGTCTCTGGTCGTCCGGCTGGGCATGTCCAGCTCTAACAGCACAATGTTTTCTGCCTGCAGAAGCAAGCCATCGGCAGCTAGATTAGCCTCCAACTGGACACAGACAATACAGGCAATCGAGGCCCCTTCCAGGAACAGAAGTGTGAATTGTTTCTTATTGAGGGCCTACCAAGAAAGAGCCTGCCTAAAAGAAGTGATGCAGTTTTATAACACTAACCCCACCTCATTTTTTGCTTTTGCTTTCTTTCTTTTAAATAACTCAAAGCCGGGAGGAATGGCACCCAAGGAGCTAACTCATCTTAATCTTCCTAATCTTAATCTTCTTAAATTATCTCTGGCTGCCGAGAGAGACTCAGAAACATTTTAAAGATTATTTTAAAGTAAAAATCTTTCACTATAGGCCGGGCGCGGTGGCTCAAGCCTGTAATCCCAGCACTTTGGGAGGCCGAGGCGGGTGGATCACGAGGTCAAGAGATCGAGACCATCCTGGTCAACATGGTGAAACCCCGTCTCTACTAAAAATACAAAAAATTAGCTGGGCATGGTGGTGCGTGCCTGTAATCCCAGCTACTCAGGAGGCTGAGGCAGGAGAATTGCCTGAACCCAGGAGGCGGAGGTTGCGGTGAGCCGAGATTGTGCCATTGCACTCCAGCCTGGGTAACAAGAGTGAAACTCCGTCTCAAAAAAAAAAAAAAAAAAAAAAAAAAAAAAAAAAATTAAAATCTTTCACTATAAAAATAATACAAATTCCTTATTGATATTTATAAAATACAGATGAGCAAAAAGAAAAAAATAAATAAATTGAGTGTGCTTCCACCAACCAGAGCAAAACAGTTTACATTTTGATATATTTTGTGCCACATTTTGTATTCATGTGTATACTTCTGGTACAGATTACTCTATAACTTAATACATTGTGTATCCTAGTTCAGCCACTTGCCATACTACCTGACCTTCAAGCAACAGGACTGACTGCATAGAGGAGATGGGGAAGCTTAATTAGAGAAAGCAGTCAAGTGTTGGGTACAGTGCCCGGCACATGGCAAACGCTTATAAACAGAAGCTCTCAGCTGGGCATGGTCATCCCAGTGCTTTGGCAGTCCATAGTAGGAGGATCACTTGAGCCCAGGAGTTTGAGAAAACAGTGAGCTGTGATTGTGCTACAGCACTCCGGTTTGGGTGTCGCAGTGAGATCCTGCCTATAAAAAAAAAAAAAAAAAAAAAAGGCCAGTGCAGTGGCTCATGCCTGTAATCCCAGCACCTGAGGTCAGGAGTTCAAAAGCAGCCTAGACAACATGGTGAAACCCCATCTCTACTAAAAATACAAAAATTAGCTGGGTGTCCTGGCACGTGCCTGTAGTCCCAGCTACTAGGGAGGCTGAATCACCAGAATGGCTTGAACCCAGGAGAAGGGGGTTGCAGCGAGCAGAGACTGCACCACTGCACCCCAGCCTGGGTAACAGAGCAAAACAAGAAAAAAGAGCTTCTGTTTTTCTATTTTGGGGTCATTAAATAGTCCTCCGTGATGTCCCTTTAAATGTCTGCATGACTGACACACATTTTCTGAGATGAAAGTACCTGAAGCTTTTCTGACAGGTCCATCTCCTGTGACTACACATCTGTGTTCTCACCAGTCTTCTCACAGAGCCATTTTGAAGCTCTTGTTAATACTGATTGGCCATGATGGATAGGAGGTTTGTATTCTTCTCCTTCTCTAGTACTGACTCTTTTTTTTTTTTCAGATGGAGTCTTGCTCTGTCCCCCAGGCTGGAGTACAGTGGCACAATCTTGGCTCAATGCAACCTCTGCCTCCAGGGTTCAAGCTGTTTTCTTTCCTCAGCCTCCCAAGTAGGTGGGACTATAGGTGTGTGCCACCACACCTGGCTAATTTTTGTATTTTTAGTAGAGATGGGGTTTCATCATGTTAGCCAGGCTGGTCTCAAACTCCTGACCTCATGTGATCTGCCCACCTCAGCATCCCAAAGTGCTGGGGTTACAGATGTGAGCCACCGTGCCTGGCATCTACTACTAACTTTCTAAACTTCATTCATCTTTTTATTTATTCCCATTAGTTATTATTATCATTTTTTTGAGATGGAGTTTCGCTTTTGTTGCCCAGGCTGGAGTGCAATGGCATGATCTCGGCTCACTGCAACCTCCACCTCCTGGGTTTAAGCAATTCTCCTGCCTCAGCCTCCCGAGTAGCTGGGATTACAGGCACCTGCTATGATGCCCGGCTAATTTTTATATTTTTAGTAGAGATAGGGTTTCACCACATTGGCCAGGTGAACTCCTGACCCCAGGTGAACTCCTGACCTCAGGTGATCTGCCCACCTCGGCCTCCCAAAGTGCTGAGATTATAGGCATGGGCCGCTGTGCCTGGCCTATTAGTTATTATTTTTATTATATTTCCTTATTTTTTGAGACAGGGTCTCTGTCACCCAGGCTAGTGTTCAGTGGCACAATCTTGGCTCAATGCAACCTCTGCCGCCCAGGCTCAGGTAATCCTCCCACCTCAGCCTCCCAGGTAGCTGGGACTACAGGCACACACCACCACATCTGGCTAGTTTTTGTATTTTTAGTAGAGTTAGGGTTTCGCCACATTGCCCAGGCTGGTCTCAGACTCCTGGGCTCAAGCAATCTGCCCACCTTGGCCTTCCAAACTGCTGGGATTACAGGTGTGAGCCACTGTGCTCAGCTTATTAATTGTTATAATTGTTGTTATTGTTTTCAAGTACCTCTGGAAAGAGGGTATAAAATCCGAGTGGAATAGTATTTAAAGGTTTACACAAATCTAAACTCCAAAGAGACAAGAGAAAAACCCAAGAAGGACCTTCTTACCCTGTATCGGGGCTCTGGACGAATCATCATGGACATTCTTGCGTGCTGGCTCAGTGGTCTCTTATATCCCACGGCTGAGACTGGCCGCTTCATCATTTGCTGATTCCTGAAAATGAACTGCAGTGTTAGAGCCCTGGCTGGAGTCCTGTGGAACCAACACTGGGAAGACTCTGATAGAACCTGAAGCAAGTAACCCCCTGGACCGCAGGCTGACATAAGTGGGACAGGAGCTGACTCTCTTTTCTGCTTGAGTTGCTTTCTGATTCAGAGCATCATGCATCTTTTAAGCCAGAAGGGATTTTAATCATCGCCCAGTTCATGGACGGCATTCACAAAGCATAGCTGTCAACACTCCCCACCTCTGCGTCCCTGCCAGGTGTCTCCCGTCCTTCCAGCAGGACCCGGACTTAGAGTGAGAATCCTTCTCAACACTGTGGGTCAGAATGACACACAAACAGCTCTGAATTGCCCTCATGTGGCCTAGCATATTTCACTTCACAGATGGGGAAACAGAAATGCAGGAACTTTGGAAAAGTCACTTGCTCACTAGTGACAAAGTCTCCCAATTCCTAAAACCACTCTCATCATCAAACTTTCACCTGGTGGATCTATGGCACCTACAAAATCAGAAATACAATGGGTTTTGAGTTTCAATGAGCCAAAATGTGTTCTTACCATACCCCTTTGTTGATCGAAGGTGTCTTGTCATCAACATTCTTTTCCTGCCCCATACTTGAAAATATACAAGTTAATAGTGACTTACTCCAGTCTGGTTATAGGATGTAGTTTCCAATGATCTTCCTCTTCATCAAAGAAAGCTCTATTCATAATTTTACTTTTTTCTTCCAGAGGGATAAAGTTTTCTATGATAAGATGCCTGTAACATAACGTAACATAGGTGAAAACAGATACAGAATACACATGAAGTGACGGCTATCTGGTCTCATGCATGGTGAGTAATTAGGTAAGAGTCAAGGCACACAGCAAACATTTACTCAGCAGGTACTATGGACCTAGCAGCATATAAAGAGCTGAGATACAGACACAAAGACATCTGGTTCCTGCCTGCAACAAAAGGTAATGGTGCAGCTCTGTTAGGTATAACAGGCACTGAGAGTGGTCTGTCTTAGAAATATGGAGAGGTCGCTTCTGCCTGGGAAGGGGCAGGATGTGAATGGGCTGAAGAGTGAGGTGATGCCTGGGCTATACTGGAGTGAACAGATGCTACCTGAAGTATCTTTGAGAGGGCCACAGGTGCTGCTAACCAAGGTTATTAACTTCCAAAATGCCAAAAACAGAATAAATTAAGCTGCCTTACTCCAATCCCATGGCTTGTTGTTCAAGCTGGAAATTTTCCCTTTCTTACTGATCAAGATAAAAAGCAGGACTGAATGGATTTCAGTCCCTGAGAGCACTGAGAATGAAGACCATTCCTATGTATAGTCTCTGCCTGATAAGTGCCCAGGAAACACATCAAACAAGGAAACTGGAACCCACTGGTTGTGTCTCTCTATGGTGATGACTGTCTCCTGTTACATCTCTGCCTTTATTCTTTTAAAGCCTCAAGACAAAACAATGCTAAGAGGAAATAACGTGGAAGGGACACAGAGAAAACAGAACAGACTAGTATAGGGTACTGTGAGAAACAGGCTGACTCACTGTTTACTCAAAAGATATAAAAAGAGATACAGGCTGGGCATGGTGGCTCACGCCTGTAATCCTAGCACTTCAGGAGGCCAAGGCGGGTGGATCACCTGAAGTCAGGAGTTTGAGACCAGCCTGGCCAACATGGTGAAATCCCGTTTCTATGAAAATACAAAAATTAGCCAGGTGTGGTGATGGGCACCTATAATCCTAGCTACTCGGGAGGCTGAGGCAGGAGAATTGCTTGAACTTAGAGGGCGAAGGTTGCAGTGAGCCATTGCATTCCAGCCTAGGCTAAAACTCCATCCAAAAAAAAAAAATAAATAAAAAGAGATATAATAATGAAAATAGATTCCTTAGAAAAAAAATATTTTGGTGGATCCCCTGAGGTCAGGAGTTCGAGACCAGACTGACCAACATGGCAAAACCCTGTCTCTACTAAAAATATAAAAATTAGCCATGTGTGGTTGACCTGTAATCCAAGCTACTTTGGAGGCTAAAGCATGAGATTCACTTGAACCTGGGAGGCAGAGGTGGCAATGAGCCAAGATTGTGCCACTGCACTCCAGCCTGGGTGACACAGCAATAATCTGTCTCAAAAAAAAAAAAAAAAGAAGAAGAAAATGTAAAAAACATAATTTACTCACAATTTCACTATCCTGAGATAAATATTATTAATATTTTGGTATATTTTGTCCTGATTGTTTTTCTAGAGGTACATACCTACAAAGAGGACTGACCGACACATACATTTAATTAATATTTTTGGAGACAGTCTCATTCTGTCACCCAGGATGGATGTAAAGTGGTGCGATCTCAGCATACCGCAACCTTCATCTCTCGGTTCAAGTGATTCTCGTGCCTCAGCCCCCGGAGTAACTGAAATTACAGGCACACGCCACCATGCCTGGCTAATTTTTTTTGTATTTTTAGTAGAGACAGGGTTTCACCATGTTACCCAGGCTGGTCTTAAACTCCTGAGCTCAGGCAATTTACCCACCTCAGCCTCCCAAAGTGCTGGGATTATAGGCATGAGCCACCACATGTGGCCCACATTTAATTTTAAGGGCTCTTTTCCAAATTTAAAATTTGGTCATTAAAAGAATCCCTTTGAAAAGTTCTTCTGCTGGGCGCAGTGGCTCACGCCTGTAATCCCAGCACTTTGGGAGGCCGAGGCGGGTGGATCATGAAGTCAGGAGTTCAAGACCAGCCTGACCAACATGGTGAAACCTGGTCTCTACTAAAAATACAAAAATTAGCTGCACGTGGTGGCACACGCCTGTAATCCCATCTACTCAGGAGACTGAGGCAGGAGAATTGCCTGAACCTGGGAGGCAGAGGTTGCAGTGAGCCAAGATCGTGCCACTGCACTCCAGCCTGGGCGACAGAGTGAGACTTCGTCTCCAAAAAAAAAAAAAAAAGAGGAAAAGTTCTTCTTTGGCCAGGCATGGTCATTTGTCACCCCACTAATGAAATCATGGATCCAGACAAAGATCACCTGTTGGCTGAAACCATTAGCTCCGCATTTCTCAAGCCAGGCTGCACATTCATATTACCTACAGAGTTTCAAAAAATATCTTGCCCAGACCTCATGAGAGATCATTAAGAGTTCTCAAAATACATTCACCAAACCAGCAGAAGCAATACCTGGAACCTATTAGAAATGAAAATTCTCAGGCCCTGCCCCAGCCTTTCTGAATCAGCCTCTGGGTGTGATACCAAGCAATCTGTGTAACAATCCCTTCAGGTAATTCTGATGCCTGCTGAAGTTTAAGGACTACTGCCCTAGACCAATTAAATCAGAATCTCTGAGGTGGGGCCCAGACATCACTAATGTTTAAAACTTCTCAGTTTGAGGCCAGGCGCGGTGGCTCAAGCCTGTAATCCCAGCACTTTGGGAGGCCGAGGCGGGTGGATCACGAGGTCAAGAGATCGAGACCATCCTGGTCAACATGGTGAAACCCCGTCTCTACTACAACTACAAAAAATTAGCTGGGCATGGTGGCGCGTGCCTGTAATCCCAGCTACTCAGGAGGCTGAGGCGGGAGAACTGCCTGAACCCAGGAGGCGGAGGTTGCGGTGAGCCGAGATCGCGCCATTGCACTCCAGCCTGGGTAACGTGAAACTCCGTCTCAAAAAAAAAAAAAAAAAAAACTTCTCAGTTTGTAGCCAAGGTTGGGAACCAGTGCTTTAGAGATAGCTTTTAGTTAAAACTAATAAAGGGGATAGAGATACAAGTTAATTGACACCATGAGGAAAGAGACCAACAAATCCAGAATGCAGTATATTTCTTTTTTTTTTTTGAATTGGTGTCTCCCTTGGTCGACCGGGGTGCAGTAGCATAATCTTGGTTCACTGCAGCCTTGAACTCCTGGGCTCAAGCAATCCTCCTGCCTCAGCTTCCCAAATAGCTGGAACTGCAGGCACATGCCACCACTCCCACCTACAATGTGGGCTATTTCTACAGGCTATCTGACTCAGTCTTTTCAACAAGTCAACTATGAAAGAAAAAATATATATAAACATGTATTTTTGAGATGGAGTTTTGCTCTTGTTGCCCCGGCAGGAGTGCAGTGGCACAATCTTGGCTCATTGCAAACTCTGCCATCTAGATTTAAGCAATTCTCCTGCCTCAGCCTCCCAAGTAGCTGAGATTACAGGTGCATGCCACCACACTCAGTTAATTTTTGTATTTTTAGTAGACACAGGGTTTCACCATGTTGGCCAGGCTGCTCTTGAACTCCTGACCTCATGATTCACCTGCCTTGGCCTCCCAAAGTGCTGGGATTACAGGCGTGAGCCACCACACCTCGCTGAAAAATATTTTTTAAAATAAAAAGAATTGCCTCAGATTAAAATAAGTCTAAGAGATTTAATAACCAAATGTAACATGTAGTCCTAATATGTAGATCCTAATATGAACAAACCAAGAAAATCTAAATGTGGATTGGTTACTAGAAAATACTAAGAAACTTAATTTTTTTAGGTGTAAAATATCATGTAGACAAAAACCAAATATATATATATATATAAAATTTTTTTTTGAGATGGAGTCTCACTCTGTTGCCTAGGCTATAGTGCAATGGCACAATCTCAGCTCACTGCAACCTCTGCCTCCAGGGTTCAAGCAATTCTTCTGTCACAGCTCCCCCAGTAGCTGAGATTACAGGCACCCAGCATCACGCCCAACTAATTTCTATTTTTTATAGAGACAGGGTTTCACCATATTGGCCAGGGTGGCCTTGAACTCCTGACTTCAGGTGATCCATCCACCTTGGCCTCCCAAAGTGCTGGGATTACAGGTGTGAGCCACTGTGCCCAGCTGATATTTTTATATACTAGTAATTAATATTCCAAAAATAAAATTAAGAAAACAATGTCATATACAAAGCACCCAAAAAACCCTTAGGTATAGATTTAACAAAAGAAGTACAAGTCTTGTACTTTGAAAACTCAAAACATTCTTGAGAAAAATTAAAGAAATAATAAATAAATGGAAAGACATCTCATGTTCATGGATCTGAATACTTGATACTGTTAAGATGACAATATTGCCAAAATTGATCTACAGATTCAACACGATCAATATCAAAATCCCAGCTGGCTTTGTTTGCAGAAATTGATGAGCTAGTTTTAAAATGTAGAGGCATACCTCAGAGATACTGGGGGTTTGGTTTCAGACCACTGCAATAAAATAAGTATCGTAATAAAGCACATAACACAATTTTTCCCAGTGCATATAAAAGTTACGTTTACACTATATTGTAGTCTATTAAATACTATTTTGTCTAAAAAAAGTACAGACTGTAAAAATACTTTATTGCTAAGAAATGCTTACACAGAGACATGAAGTGAGCATATGCCATTGAAAAAATGGTGCCAACAGCCAGGCATGGTGGCCCACAACTGCAATCCCAGAACTTTGGGAGGCCAAGGTGGGCAGATGACGATGTCAGGAGATTGAGACCATCCTGGCCAACATGGTGAAACTCTGTACTAAAAATATAAAAATTAGCTGGGTGTGGTGATGCATGTCTGTAGTCCCAGCTACTTGAGAGGCTGAGGGAGGAGAATCGCTTGAACCTAAGAGGTGAAGGTTGCAATGAGCTGAGATCGTGCCACTGCACTCCAGCCTGGTGACAGAGTGAGGCTCCATCTAAAAAAAAAAAAAAAATGGTTCCAACAGATTTGCTCTTTGCAGGGTTTCCACAAACCTTCAATTTGTAGAAAATG